CGCAGCCAGGCTGCGACGTCCTGGACGCCGCCTTCGCTCGCTACCATCGCCTGCTCTTTGGGGCCGGGCCCTGGCCGCCGCCTAGCCTCTCGAGTGAGTTATCCCCGCCCGGGCCCCAGAGCAGTCCATAGCGGTCCCCAACCCTGTCCCCCAGCGGTCCCCACTTGTCCCCGGCCTCCGCAGCCTCTTCCTTCCCGCAGCCCGCAGCCGCCTCTGGGCCAAAGGAAGCTGGGATCCATCCCCGTGTTAGATTTTCAGCTCAGACTGCCCACTGCAGAGCTTAGACTTTACAGGATGCCAACGTTCTAGGAAACCCGGGCCCAGAGGGATCTAAGGTGACCCTTCTACCCGTGTCGCAGGCCTCGAAGGCCTGGTTGAGGCTCTGACCAGGACAGGGCACAGGAGGCCAGGAAAGGCCCGCGGATGTGTGAGGCGGGCCGGGGACAGCTGTGCAGGGCGGTGTCCATGCTGGAGACTCAATGAACAGAAGCCGGGAAGCGCAGGGTCCAGCAGGAGGAGGTTCGGAGCTGTGGGCTGGGAGTGTAGGCCACCAGAGCGGTGACAAGTCACATGCGGCCCTGTTAGTGACCTCACATGCCACTGTTGCTGCACACAGTCATGTGGCCAAGTTCCTGCAATAAGAGTATCATGAGATCTGCAACCTCCTGCAGCCAGTATCAGTATTTGATTTGTTCGTGCTGAGGTATCAAACAAGTGACTAAACTATTAACTCATGACATGGTTCCTTATAATTCGAATCTGGAGTGCCTCGTGCCTTCCATGACTATGCCTTCAACACAGTGGAGACTAAGTCATGATTTCTTGGATATGTTGATGCGAAAAGCCCCTTTGTGTAAAAACACTGCAAAAGGCTTCAGGATTTTTATATCTAAGATCATTAAAGAGAAGTTAAGAGGGGGCCAGGGATTTAGCTCAGTGACACTGCCCCTGCTTTGCAAGTGCAAGGTCCTGAGTTCAATCCCCTACCGAATAGCCAGGCTGAGGCAGAACAGACCATGTGGTAAAAGCCTGCCTCAAAAAACAAGAAAGCAAGGTCCTGAATTCAACCCCAGGTACTGAAAACAAAGCAACAAGAAAGATTTATGGGAAAAGAGGATCACAGGAGGGCCACTAGGGCACTTTAACCTCTTTGCCCAGGTAAGGACAAGGTGTATACGTGCAGAAGACTGGTTGCCAGTGAGCTTATGGCTTTATCTAGGTTTTTTTTCGAGACATGGTCTAGCCATGTAGCCTGGTCTGGAACTCAGTGTATCTCAAACTGACCTTGAACTCCCGGAAAGCAACCCTGCCTAAGCTTGCAGGCAAATACCGCCGCACCACACCCAGCGTGTGGCCTTAGACAGATTGCTTAATTTCTAAAGTATTGTTGGCACTTTTTAATTTTTTTTCCAGTTGTGGGGGGATCAAACTCAAGACCTTAGCCGGGCGTAGTGGTGCACGCCTGTAATGCCAGCACTTGGGAGGCTGAGGCAGGAGGATTGCTGTGAGTTCGAGACCAGCCTGGGGCTACATGGTGTGTTCCAGGTCAGTCTCAACTACATAGGGAGACCCTGTCTCAAACACCCACCCCGAAAGAAAAACAACTAAGGACCCTGCACTTTTGAGCCAGGCATGGTACCACTAAGCAAAATCCCTGGCCCTGCCTCTTTTTTAATAAATAAAGCTGCTTACATTTCAGAAATTCCTGGGGATAATGCCTGAGGATAATGCCTCTGTCATCTATGAAGGGACTACAATGGAAGAGAAAAGTTGGTGATTTTAAAAGTAAAATAGGGAGCAAGCTCATAAAAGCATGACTCTGTCCCCATCCACCTTATTCATTGGCTTTGGTGACCTGCAAGTTCTAGCTCTTCCCCAATGTCAAAATGGCCTTCAAGGGGAGAAATTCAGGATACTGAGGCAGCCAGAACTGCACAAGTGAAGTACGCAGAAAAGAGGACATCCAGAGCCACTTCAGAAAGTGGCAAGGACAATGGGATGAGTGTGTTTGAAGAAAGGAGGAAGGTTTTGAGAGGGATCAATGGTAGTATCTTCTTTTGGTTTTGGTTTTGATTTTTTGAGACTGGGTATTGTTACGTAGTTCAGGTTGGCTTTCAATTTACCGTGTAGCCTAGGCCGGCCTTGAATTTGCGGTGCTCCTCTTGCTTCAGACTCCCAAATGCTGAATAGCTCTTTCACTGTTTTTTGTTTTTTTTTTTGAAGCAGGGTGTTGCTGTATAGTTCATATTGGTCTTGAACTCACTGTGTAGCCCAGGCTGTCCTTGAACTCCTGGTGATCTTGCCTCAGCTTCCGGGAGTGCTGGGATTACAAGTGTGCACCACCATGCCCAGTGCTGCAATAATTTTTTAAAAATTGAAACACACTATGTATTTTTTAATCCCATCTAGTGGCTTTGTTCCTTTGACTGACTGGGACTGCAGCCCCAGACTGAGGCAGGTGAAGAGTTGAAGCCCATGTACCTTGCCTACGTTGGCTGTCACCTGTCATTTTCTCACCATCCTCCTGTAAGGGGCTCCTGCAGACCAGGCACCCTGCCCCTGGCCAACTCCAGTTCCTCCACACAGTGGAGGTTTGCAGTGGCAAAGCTGACTGGTTAGGAAAAGGAATTAGAACAGAGTAGGGAAGGAGCAGTATCTTGTGCCTGGACTCTGGTGTTCCCTGTGCCCTTTGGTGGTCATGACAGCTCCTCCAGGGCACGGTCACCCTGAGGCCCACAGTGAGGCACCACGCCCAAAGTCTTGGGTCAGAGTGGTGGTTGACTTCCCTGTCAGGTCTGTTTATCCACCGAGGTCTTGAGAGGTCTTGATCTTTTCCTGGTGCAGTCTTGGGGTGTGCTCCTAATTATCTTTGTCAGGTGATTAGAGATAGAAAATTACCCGCCGCTGGTAGGATTAACCTCTGATCACATCTTCATGTTAATTACTTTGAGTAATAATTGCTAAAATCTAATTGCTCGTTCATTAGCAATCAGACTTAATATGTTTTATTCCCCACCCTCTTGTTATCAGATTCCAGGAGTATTTCTGCCTTTTCTTCCATCTATCCTTAGTGCCAGAAGTGTTGGTTTTTTGTTTTGTTTTGCTTTTTGGTGGGGGTACTGGGGATTGATTTGGGGGCAGGCGGTGCCACCACTGAGCTAAATCCCTGGCCCAGAAATATTGTTTTTTGACAAGGTCTCACTATGTAGCCCAAAAGCCTTGAACTCTAGGGGACTGTTGTGCCTCAGCCTCCCAATTTCTGGGATTACAGGCATGTGTCACCATACTTGGCACTTTTAAAAAAATTGTAATTGTTTCTGTAGTAAACAAGATTTTTCAGCTGGTATATGCTTTTTTATTAAAAAAAAAAAATAGGCCAAAGAAAAGACCAGGTTTGGACAAAGGCAAGGACACACGCATTGAGCTGCAGAAGGAGTGGGATCCTGGAATGTGTCATGTGTCTGTTGGTCAGGAGTGATTAGCAGCAGAATCTGGTCCCACGCTGCCATTGTTGACAGCAGAACCAGAACCCGACTGGCCTCTCCTGATTCCCAGCCCACCCCCATGGGTGCTCCCAGCCCTGGAGGATGTGGAATTTCCTGCTGCCCTGCTGAGCCCTGGCACCCTTGCCCATGAGTTTTCGGTAGAACAGGCCACCTGAGCTTCCACCCCTCAGCAGGCCCTCCTGCTTCCTGCTGTCATAGGCACTGGGTGCAGTGGCAGCTCAGAGGTGGGAGCCTGGTGTTTACATCCTCGTGGAGTCTGAGACAACCTGCCCCTAGAGGGAAGGGATGAGATGTGTTAAAAAAAAAAAATATATATATATATATATACACATATATGTATATATATATGAAGGGCATGGTGGTGCACACCTGCAATTCCAGCCCTCAGGAGGCTGAGGTGGAAGGATTGAAAGACTGAGCCTTGCCCAGGAAATTTAAATGACTTAGTAAGACCCTCTCTCAAAATAAAAAATTAATAAGGTCTGGAGATACAGCTCAGTGTGAAGGCCAGGGGTTCAATCCCTAGTACTGCACATAAATAAGTAAAAAAAATTTTTTTTTGAGACAGGGTCTCACTATGTAGTTGAGACTGACATGGAACTCACTACGTAGCCTAGGCTGGTCTTGAACTCACAGTGATCCGCCTGTCTCAGCCTCCCAAGTTTTGGGATCACAGGCATGTACCACCATGCCTAGCTAATAAGTAAGAAAATTTAAAGGTAGCCCGAGGCCCAGAAGATTAACAGGAAGCCATGACTTTGGCCCTCTTTAGTGGCTGCCTGCACAGACACAAAGGAGCTCTCCGTACAGTACAGCTGGGACTGCAGGATGCATTGGGCTGGCAGCGGGATAAAGAGGCAGGGAGGGGATAAGATGTCGTTTGGTTGTGTGTGTGTTTTGTCTTGTTTTTGAGGCAGGGTCTTATTATCTAGTTCAGGCTGAACTTGAACTCACTGTGTAGCCCAGGCTGGCCTTGAACTCATGGTGATCTTCCTGCCTTGGCCTTCCCAGTCTGGGATTATAGGCATGAACCACTACACCTGGCAAGATGTTTAAAAAATGATATTCATGCCAAGCATGGTGGGACACACCTGTAAATCCCAGCACTTGGGAGGCTGAGGCAGGAGGATCGTTGCAAGTTTGAGGCCAATCTGAGCTACATAGTTCCAAGCTAAACTGATCTAAAAAGTGAGACACTGCCTCAGAAAACAAGCAAACAAAATCATAGGCGTGAGGATTTAGAACCGTCCCCTTTATCAAGAAGATCTGGTTATGCAAAAATGTCAGATCTATACCGTTTTTACTGTGACATAATCCATGTACATTTTGGCATCACCAACTTCCTGTTTGACGACCAAGCCCTGGCACAGTTTGTTGTCAGCTCAGGTGCAGCTGAGGCTCTGAGTAGCAGCACCCCCAGTGCCCCTGGAGGAGAAGCAGCTCCTGGTTTGTTGGAGCTTGGGACAGTCGGCAAGACCAGGGATACAGAGCCCTGGTTACACCAGGCCAGGGTGGGTGACAGGCAGAAGTGCCGACAGAGGGAAAGGGAAAGGTGATCGTGACCAAGCGGGATTGGCGCCCAGGGCGAATGCTGCTTCCCTCCTACCATCCCTTCCAGCAGTGTGCCCAAGGGACCAGGGCAGGCTAGCGAGCCTTGGTTCTGCCTTTGGCCCTTGGTGGGGGATAGGCCGTGCTGAGTTTATGTTGTCCCTGCAGGACGGCTCCAGTCGAAGGACGTGTTGGTTGTCTCTGTGGTCACTGCGGAATGTAATGAGTTTCCCACATTGAAGTCCTTGGAGAACTGTAAGTGCTGCTCTGTAAATGTTCACAGAGTATCTGCTCTACAACCTGAGCTAGAAAACCTTAACCAGGTGGGATCACTTTGGTCATTTCAGACACCCTGACTATAGATGACGACCAGTGTCTGCTGACCGCGGACACCATCTGGGGAGCCCTCCGAGGTACTGTGGGCTGAAGGGGAGGGGGAGATTGGCATCGGCAGGGCAGGATGAGCACAGTAAGTGCTCCCTTCTAAGGTGGCTTTCTCCATGGACACTGGGCGTATCTACTTCCGAGTCCTTGAGCTGTACCTAGAAGTGGACAGGCAGTCTTTGCAGGACAACTGCGGGGCCCGGGAGGCACCATCAACAGCACTGTCACAGCCCTGCCTGCTTGGCTGTTACTCAAGACACACAATTGGAAAGGGTCTAAAAAAGCCGAGTGTGGTGATGCATGCCTATAATCCTAGCACTGGGGAGGCTGAGGCAGGAGGATTGCTGTGAGTTCAAGGCCAATTTGGCCTACATCGTAAGACCCGGTATAAAAAGAAAAAAAAGTGAATTGTAAAATATGTAGAACTGTGTCATTTCTGAAGAAAATGAGGTTATCAGGCCTAGGGGGGACCCTGCCCTTCCTCTTCATTTACTGGAAAGGTATTTGGTCCCTGTATAAAGACTTAGCCAAGTTACAGTGGTGCACTCCTGTAGTCTCGGCTACTGGAGAGGCTGAGGCTGGAGGATTTCAAGTTTGAGGCCAACCTGGGCAACTTAGTGAGACCCTGTCTCAAAATAAAAAGGGCTAGGGGTGCAGCTTAGTGCAAAAGCCTTAAGTTTGATCTTTAGCACCAGGAAAAAGCATTTATATTTACTTATTTATTTAAACAAGTGTGTCTACAATTTTTTTTTTTTTTTTGTAAAATCTTTCTTATAGAATTCCTCATCTTGGTTTTTAAATTTTTTTTGCAGTACCAGGAATTGAATTCAGGACCTTTCTCTTGTGAGGCAGGTGTAGCACTTCTGAGCTAAATCCTCAGCCCCCTATTTTGCTATTTTTTTGTGACAAGGTCTCACTGTGTAGTCCAGGCTGCCCTTGTACTATGTAACCCAGGCTGGCCTTGACTCTTAGAGATCCTCCAGCCTCAGCCTCCCAAGGGCGGGGATTCCAGCCGCCCACCATGCCTATCTTATTCCCACTCTCTGATCTTCACTGCCTCTCCCTGCTCCACAGGTCTGGAGACTTTCAGCCAGCTTGTGTGGACCTCTGCAGAGGGCACGGTGAGTGCAGACCTTCCAAAGGGTGCCAGGCTGTGGGTTTCCTGGGGATCCTGGAAAATGTAGAGACCCTGGAAGTCTTGTTCTGCTTTAGATGGGGCCTAATAGCCTTGGCTGACCCAGCAGGAGGATGGGAGGAGACACAGGTGGAGGGCTGGTCTGGGAGATTAGGATTTTGGACTGGAGCATGGCTCTGTGTCCTTTGGTAGTGACCTTGATGCGGCATAGCTTTGAGGAACAGAACCTGCCAACAGGGAGGCCCATAGTCCTGGACTGCGGGAGCATTGTGTTTGGCCAGCCTGGATTACTCTCCCCCTGGCAGGTGGCTGGTGATGGTCTTTGAGGTAGAAGCTGGGATGGGGAATGGTCACAGAGCGACTCGTTTTGCAGGGAACCTGGCAGAATTCTCCTCCTTCCCCAGCCCCTGGTAAGCATCCGTGAGTCCTGACCTAGTTGGTGTTTGGTCCACACAGTTCTTCATCAACAAGACCACCATCAAAGACTTCCCGCGCTTTCCCCACCGGGGCTTACTGCTGGATACTTCGCGCCACTACCTGCCGCTATCCAGCATTCTGGACACACTGGTACCTGGCCTCGGGGCCTTCTGCACACCGGTTCTGGGGGATGGGCCAGGGTTGATGAAGTTCTATCTTCCCGAAGAGGAGAGGGTATAGTTGTAACTCTGGGGCCACTGGATTCAAGCCCAGCCCAAACTACATAGAGAGACCCTGTCTACAAACAAACAGCAATTTGAATCTACACCACTGGTTAGGCCACCCCCAGGGATACAGAGGTGGTTTGGCGAATTAGCCTCTCTCGCCAGACGGAACTAAGTCAGCTTAGTCAGGACATGGTCACAGGAAGATGAGTCGAAGCTCCTGGCTGAGTTTGAAGTGCATGCTTACGTGATGGCAGGCACGTGACCTGCCTTTCCCTTTGCTCCTCCGTGGAACCAGAGGAGTTGACAGGAATATCAGCCTGGGCTTCTGGGGTTGTATGAGTTAGGGGTAACTGTGTTGCCAGCCAGATGACTCAGTGGAAAGGGAAGGAAGAATGTGGGTCCTGTGGGTCATTAGACTGTTAGACTATTAGAGGACTTTGAAAGCCAACAGGAGCTGGGCACAGTGGTGCACACCTATAATCCCAGCACTGGGAGGCTGAGGCAGGAAAATCGGTGAGTTTGAGGCCAACCTGGGACATGTAGTGAGTTTGAGGGCCACCTGAACTACATAACTGAGACCCTGTCTCATTAAAAAGAGAGAGAGAGAGCGAGAGAGAGAGAGAGAGACACACACACACACACACACACACACACACAAACACAAACACACAAAAGGGTAGTATAGGATTTGCAGCTCTCCTTTCAGTGTGCCCAGAATTCATGTCAAAGGAGGAGGTGCTGACCCAGCTGCTCCCCTTTCTAGGTATCTTCCCAGAAGCACTAAAGACATCAGGTTACAGTGATCCGTGCATACTTTATAGCACAACTCGTCATAGCTACATCTTGGAAGCAGCCTATATGTCCAGCAGATGAATGCATAAAGGAAATGTGGTGTTTACACACAACAGAGTACTGCTTCACTATAAAGAAAGATAAGCTTGAGTCATCTGCAGGAAAATGGATGCACCTCGAGACCGTAACTTTAAGTCAAATAAATCACACATGCAGCCTAAATATCGCTTGGCTTCTCTTATGCAAAAAATCCAAAATATCATTAAAGAGCAAAATAAGATAACAGGAAACAGGGAGATAGAATTCTTGCAAAAGAGAAGGGGACCGGGAGATGGAGGAGGAGGAGGAAGGGGATGGGAGAATGCAGATGCATTACTCATGTGCACCAATCTCCCAAGATGAGTGCAGTCATGATGCAGGCACAGACTGATGGAAAGGAGGGGAGTCCTCAAGACAGAGACCCTAAAATCTTCCCTGAAGCCGGGCAGTCAGGGTGTGTGTCAGGCAGGTCACCAGATGTGCTCTGCTGCAGGATGTCATGGCGTACAACAAACTGAATGTGTTCCACTGGCACCTGGTGGATGACCCCTCCTTCCCGTATGACAGCATCACCTTCCCCGAGCTCGCCACAAAGGTATGGACGGCACTGTGTCACCCAGCGGCTCATGGCTCCTTATGCGCACCTGTCCAGGGCCTGCTACAAGAACAGTGGCTCCCGACCTCATCAGACCCCTGATGGAGGGGAGGGCAGGGGGCTCTGGTTAGGGCACCTGGATCCAGGCCTAAGCTCTGCCATTAGTTTGCTTTGTGACCTGTAGGGGATGGTGTCCCCTGGCCTCAGTTGATTTGTATAGAGTATCAAATGGACATCATTTTAGTTTGTTTATCTCCATGGCATTGTGAAGTTCAGATAAAACAGTCAGTGTGAAAAATTAGGATAAAAACCCTAAACCGGGTATAGTGGTGCACACTTGTAATCCCAGCAACCAGGAGTCTGAGGCAGGAGGATCAGCATGATTTTGAAGCCAGCCTTGACTACAGAGCAACACCCTGTCTCAAAAAACCAAAACAAAACAAAAATTATGGTAAAAATCCTTGAAGATAGTCCCTTATTTCCAAGGGCTGTGTACAGGTATTATGATACCCAAGGAGTCCTGGGGACATTTTGAGTGTGTTCTACTCTGATGGTGTTCAGGAAATGACTGTGAAGGTTATCTTGTGCCTTCCAGGGGTCCTACAACCCTGTCACCCACATCTACACAGCACAGGACGTAAAGGAAGTCATTGAATATGCGAGGCTTCGGGGGATCCGTGTACTGGCAGAATTCGACACCCCTGGCCACACATTATCCTGGGGATCAGGTAAGAGTCATGCCTGGGGTCGAGAGGGCTGCTAGTGGTCCTCAGGGCATTGGCTCTAGCAGGTGGTGTGTCCAGTGTTGGTCTGCAGAACAATGTCTTCCCCCCACTTCTCCTGCCTAGGAATTGAGACAGGAGGAACCTACTGTTACCAAGGAGGCCCCAATCCTTTTTTGTGAGACGGGATCTAATGTAGATCAAGCTGGCCTTGAACTCTGTGTAGCCCAAGCTGGTCTCAGATCCTCTTGCCTCAGCCTCCCAAGTGCTAGGATCAAGGCATATACTGCCTTGCCCTGCTTAAGGAAGCCGCTTTTCACTGTCAATGGACGGATTGTGCCCACGAGTCTCAGATGTCCACGTCGACATGCCCTAGAGTAGGTGCCAAAGAATCTAACCCCCAGGGAAGAATCTAAAGGAAGCTCAGGGTGGCCTCTGGAGGTGAGAGTCTGCATACCCTAAGCCTCAGTGTGAGTCCCCCAGACAGAAACCTACTTGAAAGGCTCAATCAGGAAGATCTCTGTGAGTTTTGAAGCCAGCTTGAACTACATAGTGAGACCCTGTCTCAAAACAAAACAAAACAAAAACCACAAAAGATAATAAAAGAGGCTGCTACCTGGCCTCATCCTCACGGAAGGCTCCGGACTCAAGCCTAGGAAATGTGGACCTTCTGGTGATGATGGGGCCAATGTCTAGGAGGTGATGGTGGAAATGTGTGAATTTGGCTTAGTGAGTCTCTGATTGCTTTTCTTCTTCAAGGCTATTGGAGAAGGGCAGCATTTGGAAGCAGGGTGACTTCTGCTAGAAGCAAGGTGTCAGAAGTGTGTGTTGACAGTCGCCTGGCTGTGACCAGCCTCTGTCAGTGAGTGTGGCTCTTTGTGTTTCTCTGAGGATGACCGAACAGGTAGTGACCAGTGCTGGTGAGTGCCTGGCATGCCTGCCTACGAGTGGTGTGTCATGTTTATTTTATTTTTGCTTTGTTGTGTACCGGGGATCACCTGCAATCGAACTTCCAGGACCTTGAGCTTGCAAGGCAGGCGATGCAGCACCACTGAGCTAAATCCCCGGCCCTTGTTTTGCTTTTTGAGACAGAGTCTTACTATGTCCCCCAGGCTGCCCTTGAACTCACAGTATTCTCCTTCCACACCCTCCAGCATGCTGGGGTTATCACCACACCTGGTCATGTGTGTAATGTTTATGGACACAATTATCTTATTTGCATGACTTGACAACGTCCTTACCTCTTGACATAGGTATCCCTGAGTTGTTGACTCCTTGCTACTCTGGTTCTCAGCCCTCTGGTGACTTTGGACCGGTGAATCCCATTCTCAACAGTACTTATGAGTTCATGAGCTCATTCTTCTTGGAGATCAGCTCTGTTTTCCCGGATTTTTATCTTCACCTTGGAGGAGATGAGGTGGACTTCACCTGCTGGTATGAGTCCCTCAGTATCCCCAGCCCAGCCTTGCTCAAAGTGGAGGGTGTACTGGGGGCCGCCTGGCAGGCTCTGCTCTGGGAATAACCTGTAAAACAGCAAAGGCACCGACCTGGAGCTCCTGCCTGACTTCAGCAAGGCTGTCCTCTCCTCTTGCCCTTCCACCGCCTGGAGATATTTATAGAAAAACTAGCTTGGAGCTTAGAATCGTCTTGGAAAAATCCAGGATAGAGAAAAAGAATCCTTGCTTATGAAGGCTTAAAATAGTCTGATCAAAGAGTCAAGCCCTGAATTCACGATGAAGCGATGACAGGGTCTAATGAATATTAAATCAAAAAGTCGGAATCCTCAGATCTGGGACGCTCAGTAGAGGCCGAGGGGGTTCTTGGGTAGAAGTGGGAGCCAGCTGTGGCTCTAGGGAAATAGCTTGGCTTTTCTGGGGACTTGAGCAGAGGAAGACACCCCAGGAGGAGAAGGGTGGGAACAAAGTGTAAGTGTCGTAGGCACGGGGTCTGCAGCAGGTGGCAGAGGGCACACTTGGCGTCCAGCTGGCACAGCTGTGAGGGAGGCCAGGGTCTGGTGTGAGGACTCCTGGCTGTGCCTTGGCTCTGAGGTGGAGCAGAGATGTGATCTTCTTGCGAGCTGGGCTTCAGACTCTCTAGATCCAGATTCACTCTTTTTTCTGTCAGTGGTGAACATATTGCTTCATGTAGCTTAGCTTGGCCTGGCCACACCTTCCATGCATAGGACTTCTGAGCTCCTCAGTGGGTTTGAGAACTCGAGAGGGAGTGTTGTTTTATTGCATTTTGTTTTCTGAGCCAGAGTCTTGCTCTGTAGCTCAGGCTGGCCTCGGATTCATGGTGATCTTCCTACCTTGGCCTCTGAAGTATTAGGATTACAGGTGTAGGTCACCATATCTGGCTTTTTTTTTTTTTTTTTTTTTTTTTTTTTTTTTTACCTATTTTTTTTTTTTTTTTTTTTTTTTTTTTTTTTTTTTGGTGATAAGGGCAGTTGCAGGAGTCCAGGGATTAATCCCCAGGCTGCAGACTTTCCGAATACACAAGGTGCTAATCTTCATTTTTTTCCTGACATTCAGGAAGTCCAACCCAGATATTCAGGCCTTTATGAAGAAGAGGGGCTTTGATGACTTCCGGCAGCTGGAATCCTTCTACATCCAGAAGTGAGGAAGCAGGAGGGTTGCCTCCTTGCTGGGATCCCTGCTTGACCACTCCTGGGGCCTGAAGGCTCCCTGGGTCCTGTCCTTGGTGCACAGTAGACGGGTCTTGGGTGTAGGGAAGGCATTGCCTGATCTGGGTGAGGCCAGTGCCAGGCTCTGAGCCCTTCTGCCCTCCTGACACTTCTGTCCTCACCAGGCTGTTGGACATCGTCTCTGCCTACAACAAGGGCTATGTGGTGTGGCAGGAGGTGTTTGACAACAAAGTCAAGGTGAGCCAGGGGCAGAGAAAACAGGGAGCTCTACCTGGCTTCTGTCTTTATTAATTTTTATTTTATTTATTTATGTAATTAGTTTTGGTTTTTTGAGATGGGGTTATCACTAGTCCAGGCTGGCCTTGTACCTGCAGCAGTCCTCCTGCCTCAGCCTCCTGAGTGCTGGGCCACCACACCTGGCTCGCTGTAACAGAGCACTTGGGATCATCTCTCCTTTCCCCTTTAGAAAGGCCTGAGAGATGTGAGCCCCAGGTTTGGGTGTCAGAGTTTTTCTCTCTCTTTCCATAATATAAACTGATCACAGTTATTACTTGGGACTCCTGAGGCTGCTGTGACTTTCCTGCCCAACTTGGGGCTTCTGAGTCCTATGAAACAGGGCCACTGTCTCCTTCTCTCTGTTGACCAGGGAGACCCCAGCTCCTTGTGCCACAGTGAGAAGCATCTTGGACATGGTGGCCACTGGGCCCCTGAGCTCACTGCTTGCAAAGCCTAGCGACACCTGTGCCGTGAGCAGAGAGCCCTCACCCCTTGGCCCTGGTTGCTTGTGGAAGAGCAAGTCCTGGGCATCCCCCAGTTCTCTTCCATTGCTGCCCTGGGACCTCTTGGGACAGGTTCGGCCAGACACGATCGTACAGGTGTGGCGGGCAGAGAAGCCTGTCACCTACATGCAGGAGATGGAATTGGTTACTAAGGCCGGCTTCCGGGCGCTGCTGTCTGCACCCTGGTACCTGAACCGCATCACATATGGCCCCGACTGGAAGGCCATGTACAGAGTCGAGCCCCTGGACTTCGAAGGTGACACGGGCACTGTCCTTGCTGACCGGAGAGGCCAGGACCCAGGGTGGGAGGCAGGGGTCTGGGGCAGACACGACAGGTTAGAAAGTGGGGTGAGTGACTCAGCTGGCGAGGCCACAGGGGGTGGTGGTTGAAGGGGATTCTGGGTCCCACACCCCCACCACCTTGTTGTCATTTCTCCTAGGATCCCTCGAGCAGAAGGCGCTGGTGATTGGGGGAGAGGCCTGCATGTGGGGCGAGTGGGTGGACAGCACAAACCTGGTCCCCAGGCTCTGGTGAGGGGCTTTGTGGGGTGCTGGCAGGTTGGGCTTGAGGGCTCCAGTTTTCCCTACAGACTCAGTTCAGTCCTCCACCTTCAGGCCTAAGAGAAGGGACATTACCATATCCTTTAGTTTGCATGGGACACTCGGGTCCCACGTGGTTCCCATTATCTGTCCCTCCAGTGGCCCAGTGAGTGGTAGAGTGGCACTTGTCACCTCATGTCAGACAGGGAGGGCGGCCTAGGCCACACTGGCGCCTTGTTCAGGATCCACAACAGAGCCTGGGTTTCTGCGAGACTCCTCTGTCCCTTGGCAGCCTCCCTGAGCATGATCAGGATCCTGAGTTTATGCAGAGCCAGCTGGGAGCTGGGTGTGGGGGTGCACACCTGTAACCCCCGCACTTGGGAGCGGGAGGCTGAGCAAGGTGAAGCGCTGAAGTGTGAGGCCAGTGTGGGTTAAAGCTTACTTTTGTCTGTGTCTTTGGAAGAGGACAAAGGTAGGGCCCACACGCCCACATTTTAACAGAAGGGAGCAGAGCCCTGGAACTGCCTGAGCTCCTTAGCTGGGCTTCACTCAGAGCAAAGTGCTGAGCACAGCCCTGGCCCTGAACTTGTGCAGGACCTATGCCGAGGACTGTGGCTGTCCAGTGTCCCCTTGAGGAGCACAGGACCCAACCTGCCACATTCCTTGTTTCTGCCAGGCCCAGGGGAGGGGCGGTTGCTGAGAGGCTGTGGAGCAGCAACCTGACCACAGACCTGGACTTTGCCTATACACGCCTGTCGCACTTCCGCTGCAAGTTGCTGAGGTGAGCAGGCTGAGGGCCTCCCCGAGGGAGTGGGGCAGGGCTGGGCTGGGACCCCTTGCTGAGACGGAAGAATGACATGGGTTCAGCTCGTCATAGGCATTGTCTCATTGGCTCACACCACAACCTGTTTGGTGGTCAAACTACCCCCGTTTTATTTTTTTTGTGGTGCTGGGGATTGAAGCCAGGCCTTCCTATACGTCAAGCAAGTGTTCTGCCACTGAGCTATAACCCCAGCTCATTCCCACTTTAATAATAAATGGCTGTTCCCCAGCATGGCGGTACAGGCTTAGAAACCTGGCACTCAGGTGGCTGAGGAAGGAGGAGGTCCAGGCCAGCCTGGACTATATAGTGAGACTTGGTCTCAAAAGACAAAAAATGGAGAAACCAGAACTGATGGCCATGTAGATCTGGAGCGCTGGATACCTGTCAGGCTTCTGCCTCTTTCCTAAGGGACTGCATTATTTGGGGCTCGGATATAGGGATAGGACAGAAGTAGGTAGGGTTCCCCAGTGAGTCTCTGCAGGGACCCTCAAGTCCTTATCACATCCAGGGATGGTTTGAGGTTCCAGAAGTGGGGAAGGGACCGTGAGTGCGGTAGAGGTGATGTCACAGGATCTAAGACAGCACTCACACTGCCCCTGTGTCCTCTGCAGGCGGGGAGTCCAAGCTGAGCCCATCGGCGTTGGCTACTGTGAGCAGGAGTTTGAGGAAACCTGAGCCCATAGTGCTGGCACCAAGGTGGGTGCTGGCTTCCTCTGCATCCCAGCCCCTCACCTGCAAACTCTGTGGCTGGAGGGAAGGGGCTGGCGCTGGTGCTGGCGCTGGCAGTCAATAAAGAGTAATGTGGCATTTTCCCCTAGTAAACACGGATTACCTGTGTTAAAGAAAGAAGCAAATGTCCCAAGGCGATGGGAGCTGCCTTGTCTGACAGAGCAGCTCAGGACCCAGTTGCAGGAGAGTCTTAAAGTTGAGGACTAGGACTGAAACCTGCGCTTCTGTGCTCCGCTCTTTTTGGTTGAGACAAGGTGTCAGTGCTGTGTGGTTCAGGTTGGCCTTGAACTCACTGCAATCTTCCTGCCTCAGCCTCTTGTGCTGGGGTTGTAGCTTGGCCTATGTGCTGCTATATAAATATATATATTTTGGTGGTACCAGGGATCAAACTGAGGACCTCTCACTTGCCAGGCAGGTGCTGTGCTGCTCTCTTCAGCCTATGCTTTGCTAGGTCTCTCCTCACCCACTCATCCTCACCCTGGTCACTGCTCTGCTGAATCCCACCTGCAAGGCTGGTGTATATGGAAGGAGCTTCTCAGGGGCCTGAAGGAATTCTGAGCAGTGGCGGAGGCTCCAGCCCCTCTACGGGTGCACCCTTCCCCTAGAACTCTGTTCTCTTCCCCTTTTGCTGCTACTACTTTCATTCAGCCACTATTTTAAAACTCCTTCTCAGCACACATTTGCAGTACACACTGATCACATCCATCATAGGGAGGTAGGCCGTGCACATGACACTTTAATTCCATTTACATCCCCTTCCCATTTGCAAAGCTTCATTTCCTCACTTCCGGTTGTCGTCATCCACTCTTTAAATGTTCCCGAGCACTTTCCAAGGTTCAGGCACCAAGAGAGGTGTTGACCCTGAAATAATACAGGCAGCTTCTGCCACCTCCTACCCCCTTGTCAGCCTGAAGTGTCCCCAGCTGGGTGGCACGACGGATGCCATGCCAGCAGAGAACCTGGGGGCAGGGGCTGGTGACCAGCTTTCTCTCTGGGGAAAATGACTCAATGTGGTCCCAGGCACAGTGCTGCTCTTCTGTTGAGAAGCAACAAAGTAACCCAGAGATTAGGACCGTGGTGTACAGCATCCCTTTGGAATGAGCGTCTCGTTGGCTATTACTACATTCCTTTTCCTGGTCTGGGGCTGGGACCATGGAGAGGTCCTGGGCCTTTGTCTCAGAAGCTGAGAGAAGGGAGCTGAGGAAAACTTGGTCCTTCAGCAGCATCCTGTCATCTTTGATCATGTTCTGTGGGGACCTGGTTAGTGACAACCAGCCCTGTCTCTTGGGAGGTATCTGCAGGGACCCGGTCAGCAGAAGTCCTGCCTGGCCACGCCTAGAACTCCGCACCTGTACCCCCAAGCAGTCCCCCTTACCTCTGGCCCTGTAGCTGAAGCCTGTGGGGTGGTGATCCCAGCAAGGACCCCACAGAAATGCTGCTACCCTCATGCCCCTGCTCCCCTGTGGTCATAACTGTTGTTCCTATTATTTGGAATGATGTTAAATAAAAAGCGAAGACATTAAGTTGTAGGGCAACAAAGAAATAAACATAAAAACACTTGTTATAGCACAAAGGCTCTGTGATTTCATTCTCATCATAAATGTTTTTCTCAGGTTTTTTTTTTTTTTTTTAAATCATTATCCTGGCACAGTGCTGCATACCTGTGATCCCAGCTACTCAGGAGGAGGATCATGACTTGGGCAATTGAGCCAGACCTCTTAAAAAAATCAAAGGAGGGCTGGGGTTTAGCTCAGTGGTTCTGCCCCTGCCTCACAAGTACAAGGTCCTGAGTTCAATCCCCAGTACCAAAAAAAAAAAAAAAAAAAAAAAAAAAAAAAAGGGGCCATTACATGGTGGCACATGCCTATAATCCCAGCACTCAGGAGACTGAGGCAGGAGGATTGCCATGAGTTTGAGGCCAGCCTAAGCTAGTTCAGGGCCACCCTGAACTATAAAGTGAGATCTTGTCTCAACAAAAATATCAAAAGGGCTGGGGGTAGAGAGCACTTCTGTAATAGGCAAAAGCCCTAGATTTAATCCCCAGGAGAAAAAAAGTTAACATGTCAGGACTATTGGGGAAAGGACTAGAGTTCCCAATCTCCACCACGTGTCTCTGGGACCTCAAATGGCCCTCAGGTCACTGTCTTTTTTTGGGGGGTGGGTACTGGGAATGAAACTCCGGTCCTTGCATTTGCGGGGCAGGTGCTGGAACCACTAAGCTAAATCCCCCGCCCTGGTCACTGTGTCTTCTCCCTGTCTCCCTTCACCAAGGAGCTCTGCATTTATAACCCCACCTATGGGGGCCCAGACGTCCCGGGTTGGCGCGATGCCCTCCATTCACCACCAGGGGGCGGGAAGCACCCAGACTTGTTCCCTGGCTTCAGCCCCCTAGGAACACCTCACCTAGCCCTCCTGTACAGACTCCATTAAGGGGGCAACAGAACTTATAAAATCTTGGAAATGTCTTCTGTGTCCCTCAACAGGTGAATGGATAAAGAAAATATGGGAATAGCCAGTGCGGTGGCATACACTTGTAACCCCACTCTGCTTGTGTCCCATGATTCTATGACCTGTTGCAGCTGAAATCCAAGATTGATCTTTAATTTCTTCCTATCATAGTTGGCAGGAAGGTGTGTCCACTCTGTATCAGTAATTCAGATCCATTTACACCTTTCTTGCTACACTGCCACCATCTTCATTTAGGTGTATCAGATTTTCCCTGAATTTAGATGATCCTAACATTTACCTGCCTCCAGTCATCTAAAATTTTAATTTTTAAATTTTTGTTTATGTTTTTTGTTGTTGTGGTTTTGAGACAGGGTCTCACTATGTAGTTGAGACTGACCTGGAACTCACTATGTAGCCCAGGCTGGTCTCGAACTCAGCGATCCTCCTGCCTCAGCCTCCTGAGTGCTGGATTACAGGAGTGCGCCACCACGCCCAGCTAATTTTTAAATTTTTATCTTTATTTTTGAGACAGGATCTCACTATAGTTCAGGCTGACCTTGAACTCACTTGAACCCAGTGACTTGAACCCAGGATAGCCTTGAACTCAGTGATCCTCCCACCTCAGCCTCCCCAGGGCTGGGATTACAGGTGTGGGCCAACATGGCTGGCTTTATTTTAATTTTTCAAAACCACCCCATTGCTGGGTGTGTGCTGTGTATCTGTAATCTCAGCATGGAGTAGTCTGAGGTAACAGGATTGCTGTCAGTTCGAGGCTGGCCTGGGATACACATTGAGACCCATCCGAAAAGGAAAAAAAAAATTCTATTGTCCAAATCACTCAGCAGAGCATGCTACTTTTCCTCTTTAAGATGATTTGTATCTTGAGCTCTTTATAATCTTTCCCTGACACTCTCCCTGTACATATTTCCTGTGAAGAAATAAAACAGCTTGAGCAAAAGTAACATTGTCTCATTTCTGCATCTCCACATACCCAGATTTCTGAGTTATGGAGATATAGACAGACCTCATTAAGGCTCATGGGACAGGATTAGACGATTACATGAACATAGGATTAAACCTCAGAAAAGATGTTTAAGAGTTTTATGGAGAAAGTTATTAAACTTCTGGGAAGATATAAGAAGCCCCATATGTAGACCTAAAACATGTTCGGGAATGAGAAGACAATATAAAAAAATGTTTTAAAAATTTTTTTCAAGACAAGTTCTCACTAATTCAAACTGGCCTCAGTCTCAGTGACCCTCCTGCCTCAGCCTCCTCAGTGCTAAGACTACAGGCATGTGCCACCATGGCTGTGCAAAAATGTTTTGTCTGTAGATTCAATGTGATTTCAATGAAAATTCAATTTTATTTTTAAAATTTTGAAACTTGAAGCTGATCTTAAAATAAGTGGAAGAAGCTGGGTGTGGTGGCACACGCCTGTAATCCCAGCACTCGGGAGGCTGAGGCAGGAGGATCGCTGGGAGTTCAAGACCAGCCTGGGCTACATAGTGAGTTCCAGGTCATACTCAACTACGTAGTGAGACCCTGTCCCAAAAAACCAAAAAAATAAAATTAAAAAAAAAGTAGAAGAATAAATGGACAAAAGTAACTGTCAATTTTCAAGAAGAGGAACATTTGCAGTATGGAATAGAATTGATAACCAGCCAATGCACACTTCTGATGGATCCCACTTATGCTCAGACATATCCTTATTTCACACACACACACACACACACACACACACACACACAC